CTCCCCTCCCCTATTATTGTAATCCGCCCTGAGTCCCCTCAGGGAAAAGGGCGGCCTATAAATGTTCAATAAAACTAAAAAAAAAAAAACTAAACTAAAACCATCCCAGATTGATGAATTTTGCAGCTCTATTGGACACAGTATGTCAGGTATTTAATCTTCTGCATGCAACGTATTTCCCCAAATATTTTAAACAAGATTGTATAATTTTTATTGAAGGTTTCACTTGAAGACTGGGTGAAGCTAGAATCATATACTGTATATAATTTCACCCATCATTCATTCATACACACACATACATATATAGCTTTATTATTTTTACAAAGATCTCAAGGCAGCCAGTGACCATACCTAATACACCTTCCCACTCCGATTTTTCTAACTGCAACAATCCTATGACGTGAGTTGGGCTGTGACTGGCCCAAGGTCACCCAACTGACTTTCATGATTAAAGCGGAACTTGAAGTCAACGTCTCTTGCTTTCTAGCCTGATGCCTTAACCACTAGACCAAACGTGATAGAGGGTATCAAGGATTTTCCCCTTTTAAACTCTACTCAAAATACCAAACTATGCAAAATGGGCCAACAGTGGTCCCATCCACTTGGGAGAAGGTGCTGTGTAAGTATAGCTAGCGACTTGCATGCAGCTCCAAGGTCTACAAGTTTCAGATTTTACTTCAGATTAATCTGAAAAGGGAGAAAGTTATCAGTGTAAGCAATTTTTTCCTGCCTCAGCTAGGTTCTTTCATGCAACCCTTGGTTATGGGATATACTTGGAAATAATCTAAAGCTCATGAAGTGCTAATAAAATGAAACTTCTCAATTCAGAAATGTTAATTTCAAGTTTAGAGCTAATCTAAAATTGCTACAGATTGGAGGAGTAGGCTGGCAATTTATATTCCTAGCAAACATTCTTGGAACATGTGGCTAACCACTCCTGAAATAAGATGCTGGATTAGGTGGATTTAACAGGAGTCTTTTTACGATATTACAATAACTTAGTGTGGTATAATGGAGAAAGCAGACTGACTTCAAAGCAGAGATCAAGGTTCATATTGATGCTCAGCCTTGATTAGGCTTCTGCTTCTCAACCTAGCGTTCTATGAGATCATTTGGAAAATACTTCAAAGCAAACCTCCCACCTCTCAATCACACCCCCTTACCTGTCGAGGTTGGTCAACTGCTTTTTGGGGGTCAGTCTTCACTTTATTGCTGGGATGATTTGTGATCTTAGTGACTGGTTGCTTAAAAATTGAAGCGGTCTGCCTCACAGGAAGTGTGGTGTTTAGATCAGGTTTACCCTAAAGATTTGAGAGGATAGGAAGTGAGCAATATTTTAAAAAAATCATTCCAAAATTAAACTAAGATCCCAGCTCCCAGAGTTCGTGGCGATGCAAAAATGTTTTGAATCAAATTGTTTCTAATCCGAAATACCGTTTCAAATGAGAATCAGCTGTGAATAGGCTGTGCGTTTTTAGCCAGAAAGAGTTATGTTCTAAGGGCAAAAATTTGATTTTGAGTTGAAACAGTTTCAAAATGGTTCAAACTGACAATTTTGCAATTGAAGTGGTTTGATTCTAAACATTTTCAAGACTCCTAAAACTTAAAGGTCTACTGGAAGTTACCGAAAACAAGTCTTTATAAATTTCAGATTTTTTAAAGATACATGACAAGGAAAATAACCCTTTCCTTATGTTGTGTTTCTGGAGAAATCACTCAAAAGAAACTTTTTTTGTGTGGCTACAATGAATTTTCTCCATTGGCAGCAATACAGAATTTTCTTGTCAGGAATTTAACAGAAGGAAAGAGTTGCTTTCCCTTCATATCTATCTTGATCATGAACTATCAGTTTTTCCTCCCAACACCATACAGCTTTTTAAAGAGTATACAGAATGCTCTTTAACCCATCTTAGTTCAGAGCCTTAGACCAACAGCTTGTCTTCATATAAGACAACTTTAGGAGTCCAAGTATGTGTGTGTAGTAAGCCATATCAACATTTTGATGTACTTTAGTGATAAAAAGCTACAAATTAGTACAGGTAGTCCTCAACTGAAAACCATTTGTTTAGTGACCATTCAAAGTTATAACAGCACAGAAAAAAGTAACATGCCCATTTTTTATACTTTACGGCTGTTACAGCATCCCCATTGTCACATGCTAATTTTTTTTATTTCAGTAAGCTTTTGAGCTCTAGGGTGATTATAAGCAGTTATCTGTTTTTGTTACTGCCATTATAATGATGATTTTTGGTGCAGGTTTTTAAAATAATTTTAATTGATCAGATATTCTGTATCAGAGTTTGCTTGTATACACCACACAGGTGGGAGAGCTATAGAAAGTGCTAAATAAACTTTAAAAAAATAAATAATAGGAACCTTAATTCACAATATCAAGGCTGACTCAACCTTCCATCCTTCCGAGGTGGGTAAAATGAGGACCCAGATTGTTGGGGGCAGTAGGCTGATTTTGTAAACTGCTTAGAGAGGGCTGTAAAGCACTGTGAAGCGGAATATAATTCTAAGTGCAATTTCAATATCTGAAGGCAACAAAGTTTAATGCAGTTAATTAAGTCTACAAGTGGCACATTCATGTCTATGAAAAACAACAGTGTACAGACAATGTAGTTTGATTTATGATTGCGGGCAAAGTCTGCCCTCTTAGACAAGGAGGGAAAAGCTCTACCTTAGAGGTGGCATTTATTTAAGGGTACAGAGGATTCTAGGTTCAATTTCAATTAACAGCTAATGTTACTTCTATTCTGGGAATACACGTCATAAAATAGTAACTTGGCCAGGAATAGTAAATTACAAAAAAAAATATCTAAAAATGGAGTTCCCCAATTCATCCCCTTTTGTTCGTAGGTTGTTATGTTTTTAAGATCATTTATTTTGCTTCCAATGAGGATTCATGGCAAACTAGATCTCTCTGAAGGAGCAAATAGCGAGATCAGCAGCCAGACATTTCTAACCAGCCAAGTTTCGCTGGATAAAGGAGAGTATGAGATATTCCCATGTGCATTCTCGACAATCACTCCTCATAAGTAAACTAATGGCTTGTGAGTTGAACAGCTGAGAATCAAGGGATTCCACCAAGTTCAGAGCCACAATGTAGTCTTATGGACACAAAGTTTTGCCGAATCTCATTTCCTAATCATTTTTGTAAATGCCATAATGGATAATCTTTCAAAGATGTTTTGGAAGAGGAACAGGTTTTACCAGACTGAGTTGGATTTTAGATTTAAAAATGACAGGTTATAAGAATATGGAAAAAGATGTTGCACTAGGTATACAAATGAAACTGACTGCTATTCTTAACAATTAAAAGGGATATAGAAATGGCAAACAAAAAAAAACTTTCCTATGTTGGGTTTACAAAAGAGACCTGTTAAAATTCTTAAGGATTCAGTGAGAAAAGACAAAGAAAAATGAAAAGTAAACAAGCTCTAGGACACTTGAAGGGATTAAAGACCAAATTTATTAAAAGAAAAAAGGGTATACAGTAGGATTATTTGATCAAGATTAAAAGAGATATGTTGTCATATCTATTTTCTGGTAACCCTTAATGGACTTTTGATGACTAAGACTGAATGACGAAGTTTTAAGGATTTGTTTATAGATAAAAGAGATGAAGGGATTGTTGTATTTTAGGAGAAAGTGGTTGTTAAAATTCTTTATAATTGTTGTGACAAAAAACAAAGGATTTCTTTATAATTCTTTTCTTTTTCTCTGGTTTATTCTGTCTGTCTGTCTGTCTACCTTCTTAACTGCCCATCTCCCTCATAGAGGGGCTCTGGGTGATATACAATTTAATCAGTATAATAAAACATTAAAAACCAAATAATTAAAAATTATTAAAAAGAGTTCCAAGCTGGGGAAAGGAGTTAATACAGGAGGGTTGTTTCCTCAAGGGGCCAACCAGCCCCATGGCTATATCCCCCCATGCAAGGCTACACAGCCAGGTTTTGCCCCCTTTGCAGAAGGCTAAGAGATTGGGGGCTTTCCTCACCTCTGAGGGCAGAGCAGAAAATATCCTCTTCCTTGACCTCACAGTTTTTCGCTCTATGTTCTTTTTGCAACTTTAATTTTTTCTAGTTTGTATTAATTTTTATCTGTTTAACTGTAATGCTTAATAAAATGCACACACATATAAAATAAGATAATTTGGTTCAACCAGACATTTTGCTTAGAATCAAGAATCTTGGATATGTTTTTGTCTCCCATTTGCAGAGATGCTACTTTAGAATTTTTAATGTGAAATTTATTTTAAACACTATCTGCTTCAAGTATAAGTTGTTAAAGAAAGAGCATTGACAAAAGTAAATACACTTAATAAGCCATATCACCGTGTGCATTCAGAGTTCAATTTTAATTCTCTCCCTATAGCCAACAGGACAATCAATTTTTTTAAAAAACAAAAGAGGGAAAAAAAGACCAGCCTCACCTTGGTTTGGCTTGAACAGTCATAACGCATCCTTTGCCGGTTTTTGTTCACCTTGCTCATTAGCATCTTCCCTGTTCGGAAGTCAAACGTGCTCAGGTCCATGGAGTTACCCAAGTAGCGGGCCAGCTGAGGTTTGCTGCGGAATTTCTTCCCACTTGGACTGAGAAATGGACAGAATTTGGATGGGGAGGGGTGGAAAGAACAATAAATTTAGCTTTTGAACTCTGGGCAGCATGTGTTAGAATTATAGCCCAAATACAGCAATTAGTTTGGAGCTATTTGCACTTATCCCTGCAAAACCATAATGGCTTTGTTCTGGCAGTTAACAGACTCCTTCCCCTTCAATTCAGTAACTACAGATGCAACAAGGCTAACTAGCAGCAAGTCACTTTCATCATTGCTGAGGACACTGTGGACAGTATAATGCACATAGAAAAAAGGTCAATGGTGAACTTAAGCTTTGTAAAGATTAAGAGCTATAACTTAAAATTAAGAAAATACTGTACATGCTTTTCTACATATGAGACCTTTGCAACTGCTCAATACAAACAGAAATAATTCCAAAACTACCATTTTATCAGTATGATACAAACGTGTAAAAGAAAAGGCTTTAGACCATGGATATGAAGTCCTCCTGATTTAAGGCCTGTAAGTCATTTGTGAGGAAAATATCCCATGTGGATTATTATGCTTTTTTACTAAAAAAAAAAAGTGAATTCAAAAAGCATTTCTGTTCCTCCATTGTTCAATCAAAGAGAAAAAAGCAGCTGCAAAGCAATGGAACCAATTCTCCACGCTTGCCTGTCTTAAAGGTATGCTGGCATTGTAAAGTTTTCCATGGTATCCTTCAGACTCTGTTTACAAAAAAAAAGCTGTCTGCTTTTCTTTCACTCCTTTATTTAGAGTGTTACTTGAAATTCACAGACTTTTGAGAACATACATGGGCTGCAGGGGGGGAAGAAAAGGGGAGAACTTAAAATGAATACATTGCAACCTATTCAAACTGGGTTGAACAGCCTCCAGATGTCTACTCTGCACAGACAACCTGGACTCTTTGTTCTTTTATATTCTGATTTGCAAGGGAAAATGTATCTTTGTCCCGGTTACATGCAAATTCATTTCCATCACCAATTATCTAGCTTCAGGAAAGCACACACAGACATTCATAGAACAAAAGGAAAAAAAACAACAATTAAAACAAAAACAAAAGTGTAACATCAAGCAGTAGTTCTTGGAGCAAGTGGGTAAAATACAGCAGTAGTTTTCAAACTGTCTCCTTTCAGGGATCACCCTTTCTCACTGAGTCTAGGTATCCAGAATACTTTTACAAGGTAATATATGTCTATCAAGCCTTATTATTTGCATTCACACTCAGTCCTCATGGTCACTAAAATCTTTGCATAGCTGATTCCTACATCAGACAATAGTGAGAATATTCTTTTTTTCAGAAATAAAGCCCATCATTCCTTATTTTTTCACCGTCAAATGTTAAATATTGGGCATTATGCTTTAGTCCAATCTCTAAATTGCTCTCTTCAGAGGCTTCAGGTTGATTTTTAAAAAGCACAGGAGAGGAAATGGAATCATTTACTGTACTGAAAATATTAAGTGGTACAGAGATCTTCCATCACTAGAGTATAGCTTACCATAAAGGATTAGAGCCACTGCCTATCAGTTTCAATCCTTACGATAAGCAATGATACAACTGAGAATTATTGTGATTGGATATTCCAGGTTTACACTAGCAGGTTAAAGTTGTTTCTCATGTCCGTTGAAAGTTGGAGAAAGGATGCAAGTAATAAACCTCATTGAAAACTCAAAGGAATTGAAATGTCACAATATTTCCTTGATTAGAAAGCAGAACTTTTGTATGGGATATACATGTTTTCCCTTCTTGCTCTTGTTCACATACTTCATGACTATAACATGGTTCACTTTTACTTCTTTCCTCAGTGATTCCATGCCACAGCTCTTTCCTATTCACTGTTTCCTAACTGTAAGGTACAGGCAATCCTCAGCTTGCAACCACAATTGAGTCCCAAATTTCTGTCGCTGAGACAGTTGAGTGAATTTTGCCCTTTTTTACAACCTTTCTTAAGTGCATCACTGCAGTTGTTAAGCAAGTAACATGGTTAAGTGAATCTGACTTCACCACTGACTTTGCTTGTCCTAAAAGATTATCATATGACCCTGGGATCTTGCAACCATCATAAATATGAACCAATTGCCAAGTATCCGAATTTTGATCATGTGGATGCGGCAATGGTTGTAAATAAGAAAACAGTCATGTTATTTTTTTCAGTGCTACTGTAACTTTTAACTTGTCACTAAACAAATGGCTGCAAATCGAGGACTAGCTGTACTTCTTTTAAAAACAAATCCTAAACATTTCAGAAGCATCCCAGATATATTTCTTCAACTTAGTACTTATAATTATTGCTTACTCAACCAGGCCAGCTAACTGTGCAGATAAGGAACAGAAAGGAATAATTCTGACTGGTTCTAGTCATGCTTATCCTTAAATCCTGCTCCTACATAGAAGTGTGCATTTTGGTTTCTATTTCTACTTCAAAATCTTCTAAGCAGTCATGTCTCCATATCACATTTTGTCAGCTATTTTTGGGGCTTACTCTGTTACATTTTATTCCTGAAGTTGTACAATTATAAAAACCACTGGAGTTCCCCAAATCTTTCATCATGTGCATAATAATACTAATTGATTATTTGGGCACAGCACTAAAGCTTTGTTCTACACATCAATAAAAATATACATATAACTAATAGACAACTGGCAGCCCATCAGCATTTTTAAAAAAGTTTAATTTACTGATGCCATCTGAAGATAGATGCTGTGTCACCAGTGCTACCCTTCTGTTAGCCCCCAAACCCGCGGATCTGAATGCTGAATGCTATGATGGGCAGATTGATCTTAGGGGTCATAAGTATTTAGTAGCAAACCGTCATGTAGTTGGTAAATAAAAACCAATTTACTGCAGCCCTGAATCCCACCTCTACAGCTTCCTGAATGAACAAGCACAAGTTGCCATCTCAGCCTTCTTCCATAAGGCTAGAAGGCTGAAGACTTTTTATGCATTGGCAGTCTGGCATAATATCATATATTATAACGCCATCAGCAGATTAGCACCCACAATGCAATTTGTTTAGTTCTTGCGTAGTGTGATTTGTAAACCCAGACTTATTTAACAAATCATGGTTAGTGAAATATAGTGAAACATAGTTACTAGTATCTTTATGCAAGAGACTGTATCTTCTCTTATTACTAGAAATACTTTGACTTATACTGTAAGAGATATGGGGGGGGGGATGTTTTGTATCAGACAGGCTCACAGCTTCTACCAACTCATCTTCTGCAGTCTTTCTGTTTCCCATACACCCAACATAGAACATTGTGAGGACATCTTACAGATGTCTATGTAAGCAAGCTAAAGGAAACCAAGGTGGCAACTCAACAACAGTACTACTTCGTTATTTTTTTGCCTACACACATCCTTAAATGGCTAGGATCTTTTCTTGATTAACTTTCTACAATGTTTCTAGTTTACTGATATAGCAAAAAGAGAGCAGCTGGATCACCTACCATTCTGCAGATGGGGGTTTCCCCTCATTTGCAAAGAAACTCAGTTCTCTGGTTTCCTCCCTAAAAACTCTCTTGCACTTAGGATAGCACTTCTGACAGTTTAGTTATCATCCACTACTGATTCCAACTGAATTTAGACTCAACTAAATTTAAATGTATTTAAATCAAATTTAGATTATCAATCTGCCTTAGGCCTGAAAACCTGGCTGGTTGACTTTGGGATAGTTGTCCTTCTCTCAGCCCAACTCGCCTCACAGGATTGTTGTGTGACAAACAAGAAGAGGAAAGAGTATTACGTATGTTCACCACTTTTATTTACAAAAATGGTGGTGGTGGTGGTGGGAATCTAAAATCAACTCATGCATTCTCCACATAATATGTTGCCCTGCCACATGACTCCAACAAATTTGATTTTTCTGTATTTTAAAGCCTTGTGTTCTCTCTGTGCCACTCTTTCACAAACCCAGCAAATTGAACCAATTAATAAATATTAGAAAAACACAAGCAATATCGTCATCTCTGAAAGCACTTTTCAACAAGTTATTACTGCATCTGTGTTATATACCTACATCTCCGTTCTAAATTTTAAAGGCCCCTTGAGTTAAATTTTGTACCAAAAAATGAAATCTGAAATTAAGAATTTATTTATCACTTGAGATGGTGGGTAAACTCCATTTGGTTAATGTGGGGATGCTGTGGAAGACCAGCTGACCTGTGCAGAGCACCTTGAGAATCACTGCTCTGTTCAATAAAAGTCTATTTCTCTCCAGAGAACCCTACATTGATATATTTCAAAATGCAGATGCAAAGTCCCTGGAAAGGGGTGTCATATTTTCATAGCCCCAAAGACAACAAAAAGCAGACAGCAACTTAGCTCCTCCATCTTGAAATAACAGTGTAAACTTCCACAAGAATATCTTGCAATTGTAACAGGATTATAATTTCTTAGCATGAGGATACTAAGAGACAAACCTGCCCACAGTTCACTGGGGGAAATCACTCAAATGCTTCCCCTCTGGTATAATAGTAGTAATCTAAAATCAACTCTACTTGAGGATATACACCAAGTGACTGGACTTTTAAGATCTGAAATTGTCATTTGTAGTTTACTCCACTGCTGACAGAGAGAAAGCCATTGGCAACACTCCTTTCAAGCGATTCTTTAGCTAAATCCAGAACAAGGAACGTCTGTAGCTTATATCAAACCTTTCAAAATTTTTAAAGATGCCATTCTCAGCCCTGAAATCTCTAGCACAACACACATGCAAAGGTTGGAAGCAACCATTCATTCCTTTCCCATTTGACATGCAGAAACCAGTTTCCCCCTCCCCACAGAACTAGACTTTCCACAGTAGCTGCAAACAGGGGACAGGAAAGACCAGCTATATCTCCACCATGCAGAAAATGCAGACTGAGCAAACAGACTCCCCCTCTTTGTATGCATATATTTGCAATGACAGTCTTAAGAGCAGCCAGCATGTAAAGATAAAGATAGGTGGCGGCGGCCACAGCAGCCCCGTCACCCCCTCCATCTTCCTCCCTTCCCATCGCCAACCCTCCCTACCCAAGGCCCCTCCGCCGTGGCACATTCACCTATAATAATAGACATCACTCTTGCCAGCAGAGAGCCCCGATTTCCTGGTCACTTCTTCCCTTTTCCATCCCTGCGGGAGAGCTGAGCACTCCCACCTCTTCCGATCCATTGCTTCCACGATGCCTGGGTCTGGATCTGGATCGAGCCAGCCTCCTCCTCCTCCTCTGGCTCCTGCCTGCCGGCTTGCTCCAAGGTCCCTCCCAGCCAGGACTGCGGTGGTTTGCTTGCTGCTACTTGCTGGCTAGCTTCTGTTGCAGCTGGTGGCGACTGCAACCTCTACTGTGGCTTCCAGGGCCAAGCTCTTCCAAAGTGCCTCCCTCTGTTGGGACTGGAACGTTCAGTGGCTGTTCCTTTCAGTAGCTGTCAATCGCACCTCCCACCCTTCACTTCTGCCGCTGGATGGGGGCGCTGTTCCTTTTACCCGACCGCCGAGCTTCTTTTGCTTACATCACCAGCTCTTCTCAGGAGCTGGCTTGCCTCCCGCTGCTGTCTCCCTCATTCATTCCTTTTGCTTTTTTTCCCCTTACCACGCACGTGCGCCTCCCCTCCGCGGCTGTTCCATTCACTCATGTTCCTCCCGCCGTACGGAGGAATGAGGTAGATTGAGCGCAGGCAGCCGTTGGTGAAAAGCCAAAAGAAAAAAAAAAGTCCACTTCCCATCCCGCCAAATTAAAGAAAGAGCGCCCACATGGTATCCCTCCGCTTTGGCAAGAATATAGTTCCCCTCGAGAGATTTTTTTTTTTTTTTAGCCACACATACGTGAACGGACGTTAATACAGGCACCTGCTGCCAAAAGAACTGACAGGGCTGAGGGGGGGTGGTGTTTCTTACTTATAAAACAGATACCGGTTATAATTCTGACGCTCACCGTCTCATTTCTCCTCACGGTGTGCCTCCCACTCTCTCCCACTGAACCCCGCAGCCAGACAGTTGCGTATGTCTGAACGTTGCCTCGCGCGCTCATCTCCGGCAACATTCCCAACCGCCATCCTTTCTCTATGAAGCTTCTTCTGGACCCCCCGACGTTAGGCAAATCCCAGCGACCACTTCCCCAGAAGCAGCGCGGGCCCTGCAAGCCGCCGGGAGTTCCTGCCCGAAAAGGCGGCATCCAAACCCACACGGGGGGGTCCATACTCAAAACGATTCCCATCTGCCCGGCTTTTGCACCCCACACCGCACATCCTGGCTCCTCGAGGGAAGCTCTTCGCCCACCCTACCCCATCTGCCAACGGCCTCCGTTGCTCCCCATTGCCTGCCCTGGACACCCCCCGCCCGGGCTTGCTTGGACAGGCCCCACGGGTCTCCCCTTCGCCCCCGCAGCTTCTCCCCACTTCCTCGCTTTCACCCCCTCTCACACACACGTGCCTTCAGCGCCTCCGCCCCCCAGCTCCTCTCACAGGCTGCCTCGCTTGCCCGCCCGCCTTCTCCCTCCCTCCCGCACCGGCCGTTCGTATTTATCGACGGGCGTTTAATGGCATCTAACGTTCCACCACGCGCGGGGCGAAAGGGGCCGTTCGCCAAGGCCGCCGCCTCCCCGCTCGCCCCACCACCACCACCACCCCGGGGGCCCCAGCCCCTCTACCGTCAGCAAGGCCCTTCCCTCCTTCCCTCCCCGCCGGCAACCCGTCCTCTTCCTCCACCCCACGGCTCAAGCCCTCCCCGCTCTTCAAAACTCCCGCCCCACAGCGCGCGCGCGCCTCGCCGACCCCGCTCTCTTCGGCAACCCCCACGGGCGGCGCTGCGGGGACCTCCGCGGGTGACCCCGAGGCCGCCCCCCCCGGGCCCGTTCCCCACGCTTCCCCTTCCCTGTGTCTCCCGAGGCTGCCGGAGTCGCCCTCCAAGGGCCGAAGAGCGTCCATTTCCCGCATCGCCTCGACGCACCTAAACATCCCTCCCCCACCGGCGTGCCCCCTCCTCAGCCCGCCCCAGGGCTCTCCGTGCGCCCGGACTTCCAGCAGAGCCCCTGCCTGCTCCGCCCCCGCTTCTAGCCTGCTGACCGGCACAGCTCGTGCCCTGAACCTTGTCCGTGGTTTCAGTCCGCCCCCCCCGCCCCCCGTGGCGGATACACCCCTTCCCCAGGCTCCCGTTTGCGCTCACCCCAAAGGAAGGCAGCGCGGGCTCCCTTTCGGACCCCCGGGTGCCCCCGGCGCCTTGGCCATCTTCCTCTTCCCCGGGCGGTGCAGCGGGCGCCACGTGGTCCCAAAGCCCAGGACCCCCGCTCCTTTCGACCCCAGAAGCCCCGCCCCGCCGGGCCAGCCCGCAGGGGACGGAGGCGGGAGGGGGGGGCTCGAACACGTGAAAGGCGCCTCGGCTTCACCCCCCCGCGGCCTTTGAGCACCGGATTCCAGCTCCCTCCTTTCCTCCCTCGGCGCCTGTGACCCTTGCTTGGGATCCGTCGCGCTTGTTTCCCCCTTTTTTATGTGCCTTTAAATGAGGATACGCGCTCAACAGGTGAGGCCTGCTGCAACGCTTCCTTCGCAAACCGCTGCCCACGATCTTTTCTCTGCATCATCTACGCAGGCCCGGGTTTTCCTATGACTCGTCTCCTGGGCCTCAAGATATTTGGTGCTTCCCAATTTATATGAACCGTGACATTATGAAAAAAAAATTACAAATTGGTTTGTTTGTGTTAGCAGCCTGAACAATTTCCAAGGGGTTTATTTTCAAAAACAACACCGTTCCTCGCCAGCAGGTTAACCGTCTTAGGAACACAAAAGAGCAGAGCAAGTGCGAAAGGAACCAGTCATTTACATGTATACATTTTTTTTTTGCTCACAGAAGCAGTCATGCTAGCTTACAATAAATCTAAAGTAACATGACACGATTAAAATCAGGTAACAATTGAAACCCTAGTGATAGTGACGCCTCTTGTCCCTAAATTCTAGGAGGGGGGGGGATGCTTTTCCCTGGGGAGATCTTTCCATGTCTTTAGAACAGTGTTTCTCAACCTTGGGAACTTGAAGATGTCCGGACTTCAACTCCCAGAATTCCCCAGCCAGCGAATGCTGGCTGGGGAATTCTGGGAGTTGAAGTCCAGACATCTTCAAGTTTCCAAGGTTGAGAAACACTGTTCTAAAGACATGGAAAGATCTCCCCAGGGAAAAGCATCCCCCCCCCTCCTAGAATTTAGGGACAAGAGGCGTCACTATCACTAGGGTTTCAATTGT